TGATGAGGCAGCCAAAACAGACCCCAGCTCCTCCGCTAATGAAGGCCGTTGCTGCCTGCACAGCCAGGGAGCCCGGGCGCATAATAAGCGGAGCCTCTGGGAGGAGCTGCTGCCCAGGCCTGAGCTCCGGGGCCTGGCAGGGGGTCTGCATCAGCTCACCTGGCTCCAGCTTGGGCAGAGCTCCCACTGGGCACGACCCCCTTCCCTGGAGAACAGACTGGGGTGGCTTCAGGAGCCAGGGCAAGAGGGCAGTGTCAGGGCCCTGAGCACCTGCCACAACAAACGTAGGTGTGCCCCCAAGATCCACGGACTCTATCTGGGATTCCTTTCTTAATTGCCCCCCCAGAATGGCCTATTAAGGCCACACACACACACACACACACACACACACATACATGGCCCTGTCGCTGCCCCTCTGGACTGTCTTATTAACCAGGGGACCAGGCAGAGACTAGAAAGCTCATCCAGCCACTGGCGGCCTAGTCTCCATCTGCCATGGAGGCCATCTGCCCCTGTGGGGAGTGGAGGTGGTTGTGAATGCTACCAGCCAGTAACAGGAGGGGGTGGCACCCCCATCTCCATGTGCCAGATGGACCCTGCATCTTCCCGCCTCCCTACCACTCCACCTAAAGACCCCCCAGGGGCCCTAGTTCTTGACCTCCTGGGATCAAATTGGCTCCTTCCCTAGTCCCTGCTCATCCTGAGCTGATGGGCCTAGGACCCGGGCAATGCACTGCTGGCCGCCAGAGACCACAGACTGCAGAGCGAGGGACCTGCACAGGCCCTGCCCTGCCTTTAAGCAGGAAGGCAAGTGCTGCCGCCTCCAAAGGGGCTGTCCCCGACATGCTGCTCAGCCCGGCTCCAACGCCCTCCTCTGAGCCCCTCGGCGGGCGCGGGTCTGTCTGGCCGGCCGCAGAGCCGGGGAGAGAGGATGGGGAAATTTTCAGTGCTCTCGGGACACGCTGTTTCTGCTGCAGATGCTGTTTTTTTGGTTTGGAAAGGTGGTTTTTTTCCACCCAGTAATGTGAAAACATGAAACCTGAAACCAACCCCCCACATTTGCCACCTCAGAGCCTTTGGGGTAACTCGGAGAAAGCCGTAAATGAGTCAGGCGGCTTCAGAGCAGGGGGTGCTGCTCAGGTGCCTCGGGGCACCACCATTTCATTAGCACTTGGGATCCGAGCATGGCCGTCAGGTGACAGACGGCAGGAGGAAAGGGAAAGGCTTCCTCCACCCTCTCTTCCACCCCAAACACAGGCCCCAGATTCACTCCTCGTCTAGAAATAGCTAGGGCCGTGGCTCTGTTCTGGACCAGCCCCTCCTGCAACCCCCAAAGCAGAGCCCAGGGCTGTTCTGCTGCCCTCGCTCCACACAGTCTGCTCCCTCCCACCAGAGGGGAGATGGCCACGGCCATTCCTCAAGCCCTCCAGCGAATCAGGAGAGAAGGGACTGGGAGAACTAGGCACAAACTAGCGTTAGGAGACATGCAGGGAAAGAGAGCGGGCCCGGGAATAAGGCGCAGGAGAGGGAGTCTGAAGCAGGGGTGGCATCCTTCCTTTGACAGAGCACTCTGGGAAAGAGGCATGACCCGGGGTGTCTCCTCAGCCTCCTAAGGGGTGGGCTGGGGAAGGAAGCTCTGCCCACCCCCTGGAGTTTCCTAACTTCTCTCTGATCCATGCCGGCACTTTCTGCTGAGACAGATCCAAGTTGCTGGGTGGGAGCCCAGCCAGCAGGGAGGCCCCGTGACCCATGGGAGAGAGTGCACCCTCTGACCCCCGGAGGCAGCTGCACAAGCCCGAGAAACCTGCCTGCTCAGCCCCGAGCCCCAAGACCGCATTTCGAGTCCGCCCCCAACCCCTCCACTCACCTGGGGCTGTGGGCCAGGACTCCCACCCACGCGTTGGCCTGCCCTCCCCCGACACCCTGGCACAGGGCTCTGTGAACTGACGCCCTGAGAAAGCTTGAGGAAGGGAGGCCAGCACCCTACACCCACTTGCCTCACTCTTTCAAGTCCCAGCAGGCCCTGGCCTGGCCAGCCCCCACAGGTCGGCAGCGCGTCTGTCTGCTGGCTGCCTTCCCTGCTGGAGGGCGTGCAGCTCACTGCTGCCTGCCCCACAGCCAGCTTGAAACAAACAGCAACACGGCGTGCGGAGACCCTGCCAGGTTTGGGGGAACCACCTTCGGGACAACCTGGGGTCCAAAGACATTTCCTCTGAGGACCTCGTTAGAAAAGGGAAAAACCTTCCCTGCCCAGTCCCTGCCTCGGTGCCACACTACGCGCTAGCTGGGGAGCAGGGGTGGGAGGAAATCTTTTTGGTAAGAGCTCTTCTCTGGCATTAAATGCAACAAACACATACACACTGAACACCTATGGTGTCCAGGATGCTGCCCCTGAAGCGGTGAGCCGAGTTGGCCGGACGCCAGCACCATGAGAACGAACCTGAGAAGGGGCAGCAGCTCCACCTACTGGGCCCTTTCCCACCCTGTCACCAGGCATCGGTTCCCCAGCCAGACTTGACTCAGTAAAGCGAGGGCTGGACATTCTCCTGCTTTGGTCAGAAGGGCCCTGAGCGGTGGCCACGGACCGAGTGTGTGCTGGGATCCTGGGGGAGAAGGGAGGTTCCATGAGGTCCAGGTAGTTGCTGCTTTGGAGACCAGGGTTGCACAAGAGACCTGAACCTCACAAGTTCTGACTCACAGAAATGCTCCCCACCTCTGTAGGCTGCCCACATTCCCCCTGGCACGCACAGCCAGAGCAGCAGGCCAAGAGCCCAAACCAGCCTCGGGCCTGAAGGGGTGGGTCCTAAGGAACCAAGCAATGGGCCAGGGGCCCAGGGTCTCACTCAACACCAAATCCATTGGAACGCCAGCCTCCTTGAGGCTGGAGCCTGTGTCTTAGGTTTGTGACAAAGGAGAGCCAATCTCTTCTTTTAGAATCCTTGAGCCTGAGACAGCCCTCCATATGACAGCAACTCCAGACACCTCACTCTATCCCCTACGATTCTGGTTACTTCCAGCCCGGAATGTATGCTAGTCCAGGATGGGCTTCCAGCTCCTCCTGGCCTGTGCACATGCCTTTCTGAGCACCACTGGGTACCTACGTATCATGTAGGGGCTTTTGTGTGAGGGTAACCTCCGTGTGTGAAACCCAGTGGCCAGTTCCTGTGCCCAAGGGTACTTCGTGCATGACCCTGTTCATGAGGCCTGATCAGTCTGCGCCTGGTGCCATTTGTTAACGCGAGAGCCTGTGAGGGTCATGTGCCTCCGTGTGGGCAAGCACCTAAGGAGAAGGCATTTACGGTAAACGCCCCGCCATCCTCACCCTCCTGACCAGCAGAGGCAGGAACGGATTGCTAATTGATCTGCTCACTCCTCTGTCCAACACCTATGCAGCGAGCTCCTTCCCTGGCCAGGATTCCAGTCTGTCGTAAGTCTATCAACATTTGCTTAGCTCACCAGACAGGAGTTCACTCTGGGAAGCACATCCTAAAGGCAAAAGCTTCTATTGCCCCAGCCCTTCTTCCTATCTCCCAGGGCCCCCAGATCTCAGCCCCACTGGGAATGCATAAGGCTTCCTTGCAGGCTTTGTACGGGGACCCAGCAGTTATGGGAGCCTAACTTTTAACGACTTTTTTTTTTCTGATCCTTAAAATTCACGCATAGCTGTTCCCCCTCGAGGGAACGAGTTGTAACCAAGCCTCCCAGAATCCTGCTCTTCCCACATTTCCTGAGCATGCTCAGTTCTGCCCTAAGGGCTTTGGCCCACCGTCCCTATATGGGCAGGGTGGGACTCTGGTAAGAGAAGGAAGCTACCACACAACCTAGGGTCCCTTTCTCCACATTGCTTAAGGGCTGTTCCAAGCCATTTACGGCCTCAGACTCATGAGTTGGCCAGGAGCACAGAGGGCAGGAACGGAGAGCTGGGTCTGTACTGATTTGAGCTTCAATAGAGAAGAGGGTTCCTAGTTCCAAGGATTGCTATCTGCAGCTGTAAGAAAAAATTCCTCCTTGGCTAACTAATAAAGCCATACACCCAATAAATGCAGAATGAACAGAGAGTAAAATCAGTCTATATCCTCTGGGTAAAACATTATGTAAACAGTAAAAATAAGATTTAATTTTTTCTGTGAGTATATATTATATTGCTGTTTTAAAATTTAGTGATGTAACAAATGGGTAAGAGCAGATGATTTGTGAAAAAACTAAAATTACAAAAAAATCTAGTGTACACCTCCACAAAATGGAGGTGATAAGGCAGAATGTTCACACCGTTCCCCTCCACCGCTGTCCGAGCTCCAGCACTTTAAGTATGCAGCAGTTACTTATTGTTTTTGAATAAGTATTAGGACTAGAATGAACTCACTTATTTCCCAAACTTGCTGTAATGAGATACACAGGAAACGGTTATAGGGTTAAGCCTCGGACTGACCTGCTGGCAAAGTCGTAAACAAGTCCCAGCTTGGAGGGCACAGTCCTCTAAGCATCATTAAGCTTGATCTTGTAACTGCTCCCTACATCTTTCCTGGGTATCTAGTGGGCTGTGGGAGGGGCAGCAGTGAAACAACATTGTAGATTACCTTGTTTGTCCCTGATTATAAATAAAGCCTCAGCTTTGCAGTCTGGATGTGTTCTGTGGCCTCAGCCAAGCACAGAAGATCCACCTAGATCCAGTTTTTTCTCTTTGTCCATCATTTCTCCATCCTTCGTCCCCCCCTTCTCAGGCTCGCCGTACCCTTGGCTGTGCTGGCAAGGCACAGAGATATATAACTTTCCTAACTTGAAAAAAAGTCATTATATAAAAATAAGACTAATTTCACAACCCAAAACCGTAAGAAGGAAAAGGAGCATTGATGCTGTTTATATCAAATGTCAGATCTGCAATAAATTATAATTACAAACAGGAACACCATCTCATTTATAGGAATGGAACGTGAAGTTACTGGGGGAAAGGACATAGGACATCTTTTCCATTTGGAATGACGAGGCTTATCTATAACACGTCAACGTTTCCGGCGACTCTGAAATTTGTAAATAGCAGGGGAGTTCACCGTTTCTTTCTTCACCTTCACCTTCCGAGTTTTATCCTGTAAAAGAGTAAAAGGTTACCGGTACACAAGCAGGAGAGGCTTTTGTAAAACAGGTAGGTTCATAACTACTTATTAGGAAACCCCTCATTCTGCCCTTGTCAGAGTGCAGGAGAGACGAGCCCCACCCTAAGGCAACCCCAGGAGGCACGAATCAACTTCCCTGCTGGGCACCTAACTCGGGTACTAGCGTGCAGAGATTCTTGGGAAAACTGGGAAGGTACTCAAATCATTTTTTGGGGGGAGTTAGGGCTTCTTCCTTCACAAACCCCAGTTGAGAGAAAGGCACAACTCAATGATCTGCAAAGCTGAAGAATTTGACATTTAGAGGAATCATAATATGAAAGGGGCATCTTATATCCCTCAGCTCTGTTATTAAAAATGTTGCCTATTTTTAAACACCAATGAGAAGCACGCACTGTTTTGTTAACCTGTTTAAATGTTAAAGATAGCTGCTCATAAGCTATAAAGTTCACATGCTACCCGATCCTACCCTTTGCTGTTCCAGAGCACTGACTAATAAGCCTCTTATTACCTTCTTAATCGAGGCACATTTCAACACTGTCAGAGTAGCAGACACTGGCTCAAACCGCTGCCCCTGAGGGGCAGACATTTTCGCCGGGGTTGATTTACACACAGCTGAAATCCAGCCTCAGTTAAGACCTTCACGGGGGGGGGGGGGGGGAGCCTAAGGCTCTCTCCTCACCAAAAGATCTTTGCGTGTTTGAATTTTCTGTGCAATAATGAACAATTTCCTCTCGCGTTCAATCCGCTGTGTCAGGAAGTTATACTGCTTTTGCCTTTCTTTAGCCATCCGCTGCAGAGGAAACACACACATGTTCAATAAAACACTTAACAGGACAAAAAATAAATAAGAAACTGTTTCTTAATCCACGTAAGCCCCAATGCGTAAATGGTTTTACCAACTCTCTTCTTACACCAGAATTAAATGCCACTGCATGTTACTAACAAGTAAGGGTACTATGAAGTTGTCCATTTTAGGAACATCACATCTTTTTTTTTAATAAATATATTTTATTGATTTTTTTACGAGAGGAAGGGAGAGAGAAGCATAGAGAGTTAGAAACATCGATGAGAGAGAAACATCAATCAGCTGCCTCCTGCACACACCCTACTGAGTATGTGCCTGCAACCAAGGTACATGCCCTTGACCGGAATCGAACCTGGGACCCTTTAGTCCGAAGGCCAAACCCGTTAGGGCGGAACATCACATCTTGAGCTGAACTTCCATAACCTTGGAGACTTGCCCAGGACACGTGGCTCACCTGGAGCAGTCAGGACTGTCCCAGTCACGGGCCTCACGAATCTTTCCACTACCACACAGCTGCTTCAACCTTCATGTGAGTGTCCGGTTACTAAGGTGATGCAGAATGAGCCAGAACTGGAAAGTCTCACACAGTGAGCAGGGAAAGAGAAGGGCACCAGGCAGTGCACTGGTGCCGGAGAACCGCAGCTCGGAGAGCAGGCGTTTGTCAGCGGAGGCAGACCTGAGAATTCCCACTGCGGCTGATGCCTCCAACACCAGCATTCTTCAATTTGGGGGAACTGTAAACCTCTAAGAAACTGAGGACAGCGTTGGGCTATTTCTTGAAATAAATGTGTGGACAAATTTGTAGGGCTCTTCTCTCATGGAACCTCAGTTGAGAAAGGTAGAACTTTTTATTTTTCTTAAATTTTTAAAAAATGTTTTTACTTATTTCAGAGAGAGAGAAGGAAGAGAAACATCAATGTGAGAAAGAAACACTGATCAGTTGCCTCCTGCACGACCCCCAGTGAGGATCAAGCCCACAACCCAGGAATGTGCCCTGACTGGGGATGGAGCCGGCAACCTTTGGAGCCACAGCAGGCAGGATAAGAAAGGCAGAACGAAATGATCTAAATGTGTATACATATAGATACCTATTTGCTCAAAATGTCAGTGGAAGAGGGTGTTCAGACTGCACTGCCCACCCCTTCCAATTTAGAATGAGCGTTCCTTTGCAATCCACTCACAGTAGTCTCTTAATAAAAATAATTTTCCTTTAAACACAACCATCAAAAGAAACACGACTACACAAAAATGGTGAGATCCAAACTTTCCCAATTTCTCAAAAGTTATGTTAGTGAACCCTTCTACACAGGAATGTGGAACTCTCATCTCCTTAGGGACTCCACAATACTGGAAAAGCATCAGTGACACAGCTAATTGAAAATACAACTAATTGGCAAACAGGGTCATCGCAAGAACACTAGTCAGACAGCTCCTCAGCTGGAAGTGTTATCTGCATGGAGGGGAATATTGCTGGGCCTCAGACTTAAACAATTGCCTGATTCTAGCGTAGTCTCACAGCAGTGGCTTCAGACAGCTTTTGTTTTCACTCTACTGCACCGACTGTCAAATTTATGGGATTACCCAATATAGACAAACTAATTAGGGGTATTTATATTACTAAGGCAAGTTTAGCTGTCTCTGAGCTAGAGAAACTGCTGTGAAATTAAACATTGGAAGCAAAGCTGATGCAGAATAAATGATTCAAATCAAAACAGAACAGCTGTCTGACTGAAACACATTGACAGCATTTTTTTTTTTTTTTTCCTAAATGAATCAGAAGTGAGAGTTCAACTCCAGAAGGCTTTGAGAAAAGCATGTCTTCTGCACAAACCCAGTTACGGTGATGGAAAGCACCATAAGGAAGAGTCAATACAAAATTTTGGTATAAATGCATAATATGGAAGACTTTTTGATACATGTAAGTTGCTGCTAAAGGTTCAATATCAGACCCCTTTATCTTTAATGCCCTCTCCTTTCTCTGTATTTTAAAGCTGTTGGGACCTGTTACAAGCCTTAAAAGCACAAAGCCCAGAGTCAGAGCTAGAATTCAAATGAAGGTCAAAAGGCCAACACCTATGCTCCTGACCACTAGGCTACCCATCCTCCATTCTGAGAAACCTAGGAACTCTCCTCCACTCCCATCCCCATCATCAAACCCTCCTTCCACTTCTCTAAGGGAACCTGATGTGTTTTCCACAAATAATTATTTTAAATTTGGTGACAAAAAAAAAAAAAAAAAAAAAAGGAATCTAGATTCCCCCTAATTCAGACCCAAAGAAAAATGGAGTAAATTACCTTAAGTCGAGTCTGATGAGTAATTCCTTTCACTTTCTCCTTCTGCAAGGTCTCGATGGTGGGTCTATTAAAGACTCTGTCCACTAACTCCGGGGCAGTTCGCAGGTGAGTTGCAACATCAAACTGTTCAACTAAAAGTCAAGACAATTCTTAAAACACTGTCTCTAACACCAACAACACAGAAAAAAATGCTAGACTGTCCCAGGAACCTTCAAACATTTCATACCTTCCTTTTTAGTGTCGAAAAAGAACACATGCTTATTCTGTTGCTTCCCCTGGAAATCCAGCAGATGGAGCTCTGATTTCAGTCTTTCAATTTTCTAGAATACAGAATATGGTCTCATTTTACATTGGACTCTTACGGGGTATCAGAAAGGAATTTGCAAAAGTTTAAACCATTTCACATCATTATCACCAACCAGCAAAAAAAAAAAAAAAAAAGAAAGAAAAAAACTGCTTCATTCTTTTAAAGGAAAGGACTGGTAAAATTTATCAAGCACCAACCACATGTCAGGCTTGGCATAATCCAAAACTCACTTAATCCTTACAACAAACCTATGAGATAGAAATGAGGAAAGAGCTTCATAGAGGTAAATTTGTCCATAATCTTGGGGCCAAGTGGTAGAGCCAGAATTCAAACTGAGTCTGTCTCATTACCCACATTAAGTCCTTTCCACAGTACCATGCTTCTAAATCACTTTCACAATTAATTAAGCATACTTCGAGATTGTAAATGCCAGAAACAATCAACATAACATTTTGGTTGAGGGATTTCTATTTTTCTTAACCAACAAAAACTCATCGGAACAAAGAGTTTTCGGTTGTTACCTTAGCTTCCGCAACCCTTTTCATTTCTATATACTTGACATCCTGAGTTCTCATCAGTTTCAGCTGTTCTGGAGTTACTTCTTCTTTAGTCTCCGGGATAACATGAACGCCATCCTAAAACCCAAATTTCAAAGACACATTCCCTATTAGATTAAAATCATTTCTAAGTTGCTGACATAGTTCATGGTTGGAACAAAGACAACCTAAAGCTTTACGCAGCAGCAATTCCATGCACCAGGCCCTCGAGGTGCCCAGTCAGTTTAGCACATCCAGTCATCCACTCTTCTAACTGCTCCAGGCAGAAGAGAACTCAGAGCCAGGGGCAGAAATGCTTCCTGCTCATGAAGGGGCAGTTTTGCCCTGGATACTGGCCAACAGCAGCACCTGGACAACTAAAAGAGGCTAAAGGCCAAGATTCCTTCTCTCCACCTCTTTCCCCAACCTTACTTCCTTATTGAGTCGGAGCTCAAAACACTAACTGACCCATTAGTCACCCACCTGGAGTTTAACTCGAGTCATTTTATAGTAGAATTCATCTGGATTTTTCTCCAGAGCTTTCTTTCGAAGAGCTCTGAGGTATTCTTGCTTTTTCCGGTAGTCACTGAAAAGGAGGTTAAACAAGGTTCATACCAAAAAAAGAAAAAAAACAACAATAACACAACAAGCAAACTTTACAAGCAGCTAAAGTTCGCACAAAATGAAACTCAAGAAAAAGAAAAAAAGGCCAAAGCAATGACTACATTTGATCCACACGCCACTGTCACTGATGTTGAGCTCCTGTCTCTGCAGGTCCTCTCCTGGTCCAATCTTACCTGAAATGAACTGTCCTACCTCACATATGTTTTTAGTGCCATTTATTGCATTATAAGGAGAGACCAAACAAAGCACAAATTAAAACTGGGTTCTGATTCAAGCTTTGGGCACCAAGTGACCAAAATAAGATGTGGAAATTACACAATGCATTAGAGCAAAGTAACCAGAATCACGGATTCTGGAGCCAGACACCCCAGGTTCAAACTGTGACTCCACCACTTTGGGTAAGTTAGTTAACCACACAGTGTTTCCACTGAATCTGTAAATGATACGCTAACAGTAATATCCCAGAAGGTTGTTGGAAGGAATGAGTGTCAAAGTTCTAACTCCCCTGGAGCACTGCCTGCCCGGTAGCAGCCCTCAGTTATTATTATTGGCCTTAAACACTCGGAGACCAAGAGCAACCCATCACCCTCTGTCTGTGCCAGGAGCATAAAAAAGACTTCAGCTAACAAATAATCATAAAGTATTCTGCAAATAAAGTGCAAACGAAGAAGAAGAATGGGGATAATTGTTTTGTAAAATGTTTTCAGAGTTCATTATCACCCACGCTCAGGCTCATGAATTCATCTTTCACATCTCTTCATTCCGCACCACACACATGGTGATGTAAGAGACTCAGCAACTGGAATTTTAGATTTTATCTTGCACTTCAAGAAAAGGGAGTGAGAAAAGACTCAGCTTTTGGCTCAATCACCAAGGCAAGGGCAAATCAAAGCCACTATGAGAAAATGATCTGTAGCAACACAATAAAAATTTTTTTAAAAAACTCACAATGCCGCTACAGTTAAATAAATAACGCTCTGCTAAACAAAGACAGGAGTTCAGGGTCACAGGCAAGTCTCTGGCAGGCTGCCAGAGCTTGGGCCACTTTATCAACGGCAGGAAATTACCCCGTTGGACACTCAGGCAATTCAACTGCAGCGCAGGGAGGCTGGAAGCTTTCTTGGCAGCACCTCTGCCAGAAAGACGGAACTCACTTTGCACGGAGTTTGTAATCTTTCTTTTTCTCCAGCAGACCCAGATGTTTTCGAAATCCAGGCTAGGAAACAAAAGAAGAAAAAGGGTTATGTTTCCTCACAACATGATGGGAACCAGCATCTCTGGGGCGCTCAGTCAATCCATGTCCTTGGAGCCAACCTGCTACCCTCTTCCCTCCCCTCCCCCGACTGGGCTCTGCCTCAGGATGAGGGGAGCTGTGCAGGCGCCAGAGAGGTCACAAGCACCGCCGTAGTAGGCGTCCTGGCCTATTAAGGACAGAGCAAGGCAACAATGACTCGGCACTAAGCAAGCAGTTGCCAGTTGTACTAAAATTACTACAGACTTAATCCAAGGGCTTATAAAATACTATGAGGGGAAAATATAGTAACGGGCAACTGGTAGGTGAGCAAAATTTAGAGACTGGAGAATTGGATTCAAATCCAAGCTTTACCTCTTAACAATTTGTGACCTTGGGCAAATCACTTAACTTCTCTGAGCTGCTGTTTCCCAACTATAAAATGAAAATAACCCTATCTACTTCTCGTGGTTATCATAAGGATTCCAAAAGCCTCTGGAAGTAGTGGTGTCAGCACATGGCTTGGCACATGACAAGTGCCCAGCATATGTTTACTGTTATTATTATACCTTCAATACAAAGTATGAGAGAAAACCAAGCATGACAGAATATACTTTCTGTGACACGAACTTGCACAGCACAAAAGGTATAAGGATTATATCTTCCTATTATCTTTCTACAAGCTACCATTTGTTGAGCATTTAATATAATCAAGGTCTCAACTAGATGGTTTTGCATAGAGTATCCTAACTGGCCACACTTATTAGGTACTTACTCTGTTACAGAGCAATCTGCTATGCTCAGCAAGTATGAGCACATTTAAAAAATCTCCACAATTATCGTGGAAAATAGGTAAAACAAAGAAATGGCTATCCCAGTATTCCAAAGGGGAGGAAGGTTTAGAGAATGATTTGCGGAAGAACAGAACTAGTAAGTGGCAAAGCTAGAATTAGAATCCATCATATCTGGGCCACAGTCTGTACTCTTCCTCTCCCCACTGGACTGCATCCTTTTCTGCTCTAAACAATCTTAACTCTTTTTTCTTTTTTTAAGAGAATTTTTATGAGCTTATTTGAGCTAAACTGATGACATATACAAGGAAGCAAGACATCAAATGCTCCCTTATCTCAACTTTTGAGGAACCGCATATACTTCTCCAATGTTTAAACTGTATATTAATTTTTAATAGTCACCTTTCTCACCTATTATCTTTGAAGTGATACAATAAAAAATTCAATATTTAAAAATAATACCCAAAACCTCTCTGAATAATTTTCATTTTAATGACAGCATATAAATTAAACTGACAGAGCCAAAACCGGTTTGGCTCAGTGGATAGAGCATCAGCCGGTTCGATTCCAGTCAAGGGCATGTAACTTGGTTGCAGGCACATCCCCGGTAGAGGGTGTGCAGGAGGCAGCTGATTGATGTTTCTCTCTCATTGATGTTTCTAACTCTCTATCTCTCTCCCTTCTCTCTGTAAAAAATCAATAAAGTATATTTTTTTAAATAAATAAATAAGACTGACAGAGAGTAGAGAAAGAAAACTCAAGGGTCACATGGGCAACATCATGAGGCAGAAATCTTAAAAGCTCCATGTCACTTGAATGTATATCGGCATTATAGAAAAAATTCTGGCACTGCATCTGAGACAGTTCAGATAATTACACTCCCCCATCCATTCAGAATATCTTCAATAGCTCCCCACTGCCTCCATGAAGAATCAATAGGATAAAGTCCAAATTTGACCCAAATAGGAACTGCTCTTGTCAATGTGTTTACCAACCTTTACAGCTGGCCTTCTCCACACCTCTTCCACAGAGACCCTCTATTCCTATTCAGACATGGCCATGTCTTACTCATCACCTGCCTTGAAAGCCCTCTGTCTCCTCTGCTAATCTAAACCAACTACTTACAACTATGACTCTAGACACACTACTCAATCTCTCTAAGCATCAGATGCCTCATTCGTAAAATGAGGACCACATCCCCCGAACAGGGATGCTGTAGGATTATCAGATAATTCTTGTACAGCATGTTGGGCTGTACCTAACATACAGTCAGTGCTAAAGAAGTGACAGCTACTATCATTGCCTTTCATGTCCAACAAGTTTCATCATGATGCTTTCTCTCATCATCTCTACTCTTCCCACTCAAATTCCTCACCTGGCATTTTTTATGTCCGCCTCTTATAAAACTGCCTCTTTCTTCAACTTTTAGTAGCCTCTGGATTCAAAACACTTGGTCTGATTACTTTGCCACTTGCCAACTGCAGCTGTATGTCTTTGGGCAAATTACTTACCCTCTTTAAACCTTAGTATCCTCAGCTGCAAATGTGAAAACACAATAGAACCTCTTCCACACACTGCTGGGAGTTACGTAAATGAGGTAATGAGAGGACAGCATTTTGCACTTTGTCTGGCTCAGGCACACAGTAAGCACTTCTAGCTATTATTACTTTTAGCTAGATCTACGCACAGGTCCAAACAAGGTGGCAAATTACACTATTGCTCCCAGCATACCACGGAGCACACACCAAGTAAACAATAAATGTCTGAGAAATGTGATTAAGCGGGAAGACTGAACTGTGGTTAAGCGGTCTTAGTTCCATTCCATCAGCTGGCCACATAACTTTAGGCACGTCCATCTCCCTCTTTTCTCATCTGTAAAATGAAGCTAGCCCAGATATCTCTAAGGGCCTTTCTGACTTGGATTATGGGATTCCCACAATTGGTCCTGCAGGCGTAAAAGTGGAATAAATTAATTCTGCAAACATTAATCGATTTTCTACTCAACCTCCCCACAACACACACACCCTCCAGAGAAGTCCTACAAATGTTTATTCAGCCTGAATTTGGTGTTTGTGACTGGGCACATCACTTTATTATTCCCACCCCCGCTGACACCGGACAGTTTATTGTGAAAAGCAATATGGTGTGGGAGCGGGGAGGTTGGGGTGGACAGGACCAGAGCCCATCTGGGGGATTTAGCTGGACATCAGGCATTTCTCCACGTAGGTTTAGAGGCAACACCTTCATGGATAAATCCCTCAGAGGGCTCAGCGGGTGAGTAGAGGCGCCTTAGGCCTCGGGCTCGATGTCAATGGTGGGACAGCGGCGGTTGTACCTGCACACAGGCATGCCGTCCGGGCCCACAAGGAACTTCTCCAAGTTCCAGGACAAATTGTAGCGGCACGTGGGAGATCAGGTGATGAACTTGGGGTTGTCACTGGGTGTGGGTAGAGCCTCGCGCAGGCAAAGATGGGGTATGCCTGCACTGCGTTCACCTCGCACTTCTCCAAGAGTGTGAAGTTGGGCTCGAACCTGCCATCAGGCCTGACATACTTGGCGCCTCTTCATTCTAGGCGTTCTCCTGATGCCCAAACTGGTAGCATGGGAAGCCCAGCACGATCAGGCCCCGCGGCCCGAGGCGCCTGCAGCTCATCTGGGTGAGGCCACGGTTCTCAATGAGAGCACCTTGCCCCGCAGGGAGCCCAAGCTCCCCGGCTCCCCGCCGGCCCGTGTGCACGAAGTGAGGGGCCGTCCCCAGCAGAGCGGCGCACAAGGCGTGGGGATTGCAGAATAGGAAGCCCTGGGGACAGAAACCTGGGCACGTCACTTTAGCTTTCTGGGCCTCAGTTTCCTCATTTGTATAATGGGGGTGGGAAACACCAACATTACAGGGTGAGACATAAACAAAAAGCCCACGGTGATGACACCACATTCATAACATTGGTCGGTTATCTTCGGTCAGAGCCCCTCTACGCAGGGCGCGGAGCTGAGCACCTTTCGATCAGGGTGCCAGTTCCAGCCGGGCACTTACTGGCTGTGTGAGCTTTGACTTCAAGTTCCGCAGAGGTCAAGCCCTTTGCACACACAGTACCCCGATTAATTATCTCATTTAAAACTTGCAAGATAGCTTTGATTATCCCCGTGCTCTCCCCAAAAAAGAACGACAGGCCCCGTCCCGCGAAGCCAAGAGGCCCCGCCCCAGCCACGCCGGCGTCATTACCATGTATTTGCATTTATTTACACGCAATGTCTGCGTGCCGACCCGGCCCCGCGAGTAAAGAGGGGGTTGGGGCGGGAGAAGCACATGGGACCAGAGCCGGCGCTCGTGGGTCCTGTGCGGTCTTACCTGGCTTCGCTCTCGGTGCTCCCGCTGTCGGGACTTAGCTGCTTTCCGAAAAGCCGCCGACATGTCTGCTCACGCCTGGGAAAGCTCAGTAGGAAATGCCGGCGCCACACCACCTACGTCTCCGGATCCACTGAACCAACAGGAAACGGGCCTACCCGGGGCGGTTTAGGACCGCCCACTCCCCCTCCACAGCCTATGCGGCGCCTGCTTTTCAGGAAGTACGTCATCTAAGCAAAGGCGTCCACCACAGGCTGTTTCTGGGAAATGTAGTCTAGTCTCGTGACGTGACCAGAGGCAGTTCCTATTCGTCAGAGAATGTCCACGTGTACCTCGCCTTCGCGTTGGCACCTGGGAACACGTGTCTGGCACTGCCCTCGGCCGAGCAGGGCCTGGAGTTAGCGCATGCGCAGTCACCTGCGGCTGTATCACCCGGTGCATTTAAAGCCAGGAGCTGTGAATTTTTTTTTTTTTTTATAAATATATTTTATTGATTTTTCACAGAGAGGAAGGGAGAGAGATAGAGAGTTATCGATAGAAACGTCGATGAGAGAGAATCATCGACCAGCTGCCTCTTGCACACCCCCTACTGGGGATATGCCCGCGACCAAGGTACATGCCCTTGACCGGAATCGAACCCGGGACCCTTCAGTCCCCAAGCCGACGCTCTATCCATTGAGCCAAACCGGTGCCGGCAGGAGCTGTGAATTTTACAGTGTACTGGGAAAGAGCACTCCATAGAGAGACAACAGACTCTAAAATCATGTCTGACTCTGCTTTGTGACAGTTGACAAGTCACTTGGCTTTAATGAGCATCATTTTTCTCATACATAAAACAATAATACTAGCATGCACTGCTTGCCTCAGAGGGCGATCAAGGAGCTCACAGTTGAATGGAGGAGTCATACTATAGCAATAGTTTTAAAGTTATAAGCCTTATCCCCTCAAGAGAATGGCTAGTTGGCAGAATGAGTGTCAGAGGCAGTACAATGTAAATGTTTAGGACCATGAACCATGGAAGTGTGTTCTGATCCTAACTGCTGCCAATCAAGATAAAGTTAGCTTCATTCAACCTTGGTCTCCCCACCTGTAAAATTAAGGCAATGATACTATACCCACAGGATGGTTGTGAGGATTAAATGAAATGATATGTTTAAAATGCTGTGTTCATGCATATAAGCCTAACCAGTGGTCACAGACAACAGGGGGTTGAGGGCATGCGTGAGGAGGGGTTTGGGATGGGAATGGGGGGATAAGGACAAATATAGTGTCCTTAATCAATAAAGAAATTTAAATAATAAATAAAATGCTGTGTTCAGCCCAGTTTGGGTCAGTGGATAGAGAATCCACTAGCATGTGCATGGCCAACATGTTCAGTGTTTGGGGGGAGGTTAGCATGTACACTATGTGTGGTGGGGGCCCTCCATCCCCAGTAGGGGATGTGCAGCAGGCTGATCAATGATTCTCTCTCATCATTGATGTTTCTATCTCTCTTTCCCTCTCCCTTCCTCTCTGAAATCAATTTTTTAAATGTATTTTTTTTTTATTGATTTCTTACAGAGAGGAAGAGAGAGGGATAGTTAGAAACATCGATGAGAGAGAAACATCGATCAGCTGCCTCCTGCACACTCCCTACTGGGTAGGTGCCAGCAACCAAGATACATGCCCTTGCCGGGAATCGAACCCCGGACCCTTGAGTTCGCAGGCTGAACCTCTATCCACTGAGCCAAACTGGTCAGGGCTGAAATCAATTTTTTTAAAAAATGTTAATGCTATGTTCACAATCAAGTAGAGCTATTATTGTTGTTATTATTACTAAACCTAACTGTAAGGACAGGGAGTGTTGGGCACAGCAGAGCCCTCACGAGGGATTTGATTTCTTTTCCATCACGTAAAGCTAGCCTTCAGTGAGTTCTGAAATTGCACCCATTTCACACGACAGGGCTCACTCTTCCAGCTGAAGAGCTCTAGGGAAATCCTCTCCTCTGTCCTTGGAGGCATGAGTCCAATAGACCCGTGGGCATGAAAAACCTCAAAGTAGCCAGAACCAATTTGGCTCAGTGGATAGAGCGCTGGCCTGCAGACTGAGAGGTCCTGGGTTCGATTCCGGTCAGGGGCATGTGCCTTGGTTGCGGGCACACCCCCAGTGGGGGGGTTTGCGGGAGGCAGCTGATCGATGTTTCTGACTCTCTGTCCCTCTTCCTTCCTCTCTGTAAAAAAATAAATAAAATAAAATAAAATAAAAACCTCAAAGTAGCTGAGATCTGCAGCGTAAAAAGTTTTTTTCTGCATCTGAGTCTGAACCTTGCCCAATTAGTGCTACATGCATTCACAAGTTTCTATCTCATTTGTTATTGAAAGACAAGGCCCCTCATACCTTTCCAGCCTCATCTTTAAAAACATATATATATATATATATATATATATATATATATTATTGATTTCAGAAAGGAAGAGGGAGAGGGAGAGATAGAAACATCAATGATGAGAGAGAATCATTGATTGGCTGCCTCTTGCACGCTTCCTACAGGAGATCAAGCCCACAACCCAGGCATATGTCCTTGATCGGAATCAAACCTGGAACCTTTCAGTCCCCAGGCCATATTCACTGAGCCAAACTAGCGAGGGCTCCAGCCTCATCTTGATTAAGAAGCCCAGCTATCAGGCAGAGTGACCAGGTGGCATTCCCAGTTCCTCCTGCCATTCCCTCTGAAAAAGGCATTGAGAGATGGGTATACCCAGGAGAAGGCAGCTCAGCACACTGAAAGGGGGAAGGAACCCCAGGCAGCCCACAGGGTAAGAATGAGCAATACACCCAAAGAAGGAAAGAAGTTTTCTCACTGGGGGAAGGAGGGCTTGTGGTTACAAGCATCAGAGGATGATTCAGCACCCATAGGAAACCACGAGCGGCCTGTCAGTCATCACCCAAGACCTCCTTTTAAAAGCTCTTCCAAGGTGAGAGAATAGCTGTGAGCCCCTGAACAAGCCTCCTTCCCCCACAAGATAAGCACGAGTGTGTGGGGACCTCCTGAGTGGCGGAAAGGCTAGATCTCACTCACCCAAGGCTAGTTGTTCCACACTCAGGCTCTGCTTCCAGTCCCAGCTCAGACACACCTGTTCCCCGAAGAGGGGGGAGGGGGGAAAGACTGACGAGAAACAGGAACAGGGAGTCCATGTGGCTGATCCCTAGAGCTTTCTAGGGCACGTCCTCCTGGTCGTCGGAAATAGAGCAGGCAGGGAAATGTGAACCCACTGGGGAGCTGGAAATGGAGAAGGGAACCAGAGGGGCATTTATAGTTTAGGCATCAGGAACAACAATGATAAACAGCCCCATGCCCTACACCAGTTCCCCTTCCTCAGGTTGGGCCAAGTCAGAAATCTCCTAGCTTTTTCTAGCCTCCAGACTCCAAGTCCGGCAGCACAACCTTAATGACTTGATCATGAAACATTGAATATTGAATACCTACTGTGTGCTCTCACCCAATCCTCACGAGAATGTTGTGAGACAGGAAGGCAGCCGCTCTTAACAGATAAGGACATGGAGGCTTGAAGAGATTAAATGACTGCAGAGGCTGCAGAGTGTAACAGTCAGGCTCTTGAAGGGAACCTAAGTTTTGTCACCCTGAAGCTGCCTTTTTGGGATATTTAAGCTGTTTATTAAGAAACAAAAGACTCATGCCAAAACCGGTTTGGCTCAATGGATAGAGCGTCGGCTTGGGGACTGAAGGGACCCGGGTTCAATTCCGGTCAAGGGCATGTACCTTGGTTGCGGGCATATCCCCAGTAGGGGGTGTGCAAGAGGCAGCTGATCGATGACTCTCTCTCATCGATGTTTCTAACTCTCTACCTCTCTCCCTTCCTCTCTGTACAAAAATCAATAAAATATATATTTTTTTAAAAGATTTTTTTAAAAAAAAGAAAGAAAAAAAAGATTCAGAAATCTAATAAGCATTCCCCCTTCCCTCCCCCTACTTTTCTCCTGTGTCCAAAAAGGTCTTGTACACCCATTGTTGCCTCGCTGTCTTTGGGATTTTCTTGCCTATGCGGATACCCCTTGTCCATGTATTAAAAACTTTCATTTTCACCCTAGCCATTTTTGCTCAGTGGCTAGATCATTGGCTTGTGAAGGTTCCCAAGTTCAATTCCAGTCAAGGGCACAAGCCTGGGTTGCCGGCTCAATCCCCAGTAGGGGGCGTGCAGGAGGCAACCAATTAAAGATTCTCGTCGTTGATGTTTCTGTCTCTCCCTCTCCCTCTCTGAAATAATATATATATTTTTTTCTTTTAAGTTTTATTTTCTGAAATAGCATGGAGAGACCTGGAGAATATCATGCTAAGTGAAATAAGTCAATCAGAGAAAGACAAGTATCACATGATCTCACTCTCATGTGGAATCTAAGTAATGAAATGAACTGATGAACTGAGTGGATCCAAAAGTATGGAACAGATTGCGGAGTCTCTGAGGGAAGGCAGAGGAGGGTGGATGGGTGCGTGGGTGTGTGGGTGGGTGGGATGTAATCAACCAAGAACCTTGTATGCATAAATGCATGGCTCAGACAAGGGGGGAAAGGGACAGAGGACCTGGGATAAGTGGTGAGGGTGGGCTAGAGGGGATCAATTGGGGAAAACATGGGACTTATGTAATGCTTACTACAGTAAGGAATTATCAAAAAATAAAAATATAAATGCCAAAAGAAAAACATTTATTTTCTCCTGTTCATCTTCTCTGTCAATTTGATGATTAGCCCAGTAAGAACTTAGAAGATGGGAGAAAAAGTATTAATATTTTTAGCCTCACACTCTTTTCTTGGCACAAGAAGTTTTAACATCTGACTGGATTTGAATCCAGTCTGCCATTAGCTATGTCGCCCTTGGCAGGTTCCTTACTCTCTCTGTGCCTCTATTTCCTCATCCCTAAAGCAGGGATAAAATGAGACATTTCAAACGTTGTTGGAAAATCCAAGTACATTCATATATATATATAAACTGCTCAGACAGGGCTCGTGCAAAGAAAGAACTCAGAAAAGGTGGGCTCTTTGAGGATGTTCAAGCCACCAGTAAAAACCA